AGGGAAATTCTACCATTATAATTAACACGAAATTTGGCGTTTATGATTGTGCAAAAAGATCGGGTCGGTGTGGTCGAAAATCACATGCCCGACGCCGGTGGCTAGATTTTAATAATTGAGGCTCTAGAGATTTCTGAAATTTTATGAGATATGAAGGAAAATAAAAATTTAAATAAAAATAAAATTTATGTTATCTTTTAAATGTATAATTTAATATAATTTCGTCGAGTCCTTATAGCCTCAGTCAATGCATTTCCTGCTGATTTTCCTATTTTGTTATTACACAAATTCAAATTAGTCAGAGTGGTATTCTTGCGCAGAGCCTCAGCCAGTGCATTTCCTGCCGATTCACCTATATTATTGCTACCTATATGCAATATCTTTAGGGTGGTATTTTTGCATAGAGCATCGGCCAGTGCATTTCCTGCCGATTCACCTATATTATTGAAACCTATATTTAATATAATTAGGGTAGTATTATTGCATAGAGCTTCGGCCAATGATTTTCCTGCCGATTCTCCTATTTTGTTATAATACACGTTCAAGTTAATCAGGGTGGTATTCTTGCATAGAGCCTTTGCCAGTGCTTTTCCTGCCAATTCTCCTAAACCGTTATAATACAAATACAAATTAGTCAGGGTTTTATTCTTACATAGAGCCTCAGCCAGTGCTTTTCCTGCCAATTCTCCTATTTTATTCCGACTTATGTTTAGATCAGTCAGGGTGGTATTCTTACATAGAGCCTCAGCCAGTGCTTTTCCTGCCGATTCTCCCATACAATTCCAGCTCATATTTAATTCGGTCAGAGTTGTATTCTTGCATAGAGCCTCAGCCAGTGCTTTTCCTGCATATTCTCCTATTTCATTACGTCTTAAATTTAATTTTATCAGGGTGGCATTCTTGCAAAGAGCCTCAGCCAGTGCCTTTCCTGCCGATTCTCCTATATTGTTCCGACTTATGTTTAGCTCAGTCAAGGTGGTATTCTTGCATAGAGCCTCAGCCAGTTGTTTTCCTGCTAATTCTCCTATTTTATTAATACTTATATCTAATATCGTCAGGGTGGTATTTTTGCATAGAACCTCAGCCAGAGAATTTGCTTTTAATTCTCCTAATTTACATTTACTAATATTTAAATTACTTATTTTTTTATAATCTGACAATAGTTTTAATTTTGTTGGGTTTATTGTTATCAATACTTCCCAATAAATAGATGATAATTCTAAGGAATTTAATTCATAATAGACCTTCGCCAAACCTAATAATATATCTTCTTCGTATTGATCTTTTTGTTCCGCTTGCACATAACAATTCAACGAATCCTCATATTTTTGAAGTGAAAAGTAAATCCTTCCGCAGATTAATAAAGCCTGTCTATTTTGAGGTTCAATTTTTAATGCATTTTTAATATCTTCTAGCGCTTTCTGAAAATTCCCTAAATGATGATAAATTTGACTTCGCTTTATGTAAGCTAGTGACTCTTCCGGTTTCAATTTTATTGCGTTTGAATAATCTTCAAGTGCCTTTGAATATAACTTAAGCCTTTCAGAGTTATTAGCTCTTTTGCATCTAATAGAATAACTATCTTGATGATTCTCCAATGCACGAGTATACCACATTATTGCTTCAAAATAATTTTCTTGTTTATCCGCTTCGACCGCTTTGCGATATGCAAAATCTAAAGTTTCTGGGAATATTTTACTAAATAAATTTTTTGTAGGCGTATTCAATCCTGGCATTCCAAAAGAATGTAACTTATTTAATTTTAGAAAAGTCTCGTCTTTAAATTCGCACTTGGAATTCGATGGTACATGATTGAATTCACGCGAAATGTCTAAATATCCAGCTTCCTTCAGTCGTTTATAAAGACCTTTAAGAGTAGCATTCTGAGGAAAGCTAAATATTGACTCTTGTTTTATTAAAGCTCGACATATCGGGCACTCAAATTCCCTGTCTTCTATTTGCAACATGGATTTCCATTCGTTGACTGCAAATTTACTAATAGAATGGCCACACCCCAAAACATAAAAATCTTCTGTGATTTCTTTCGTTATCGGACAAGTAAAATTTTCGGCAATAATATCCAATAATTTAGAATCTCCTTTCGATGTATTTAGAACTGGCACCATTTTTTCCTTTCCTTTTTTTGATCTAGCCGGTTTTGCTAAAATATTATTAAAACTACTGCCAACTCCGACTTCATATTTAACTTTGTTTGTTATCATGTCGAAGTGACTAGCTTGAATATTTGATAGGCTTTTATAGTAATCCATTTCTGCTTTAATTATTTCTTCAAACTGTTCTGGCTTTTTATATGATAACCCTAATAGCAACTCCAAAGCCTTATATTTTATAAAGTTATCATTAGAATTTTGTAAGGATTCCAGACTAATATAATAACATAAAGCCAAAATATTATCTTTTGTAGACTTGTTGCTGATATCTTGCGTTAAATCAAGCACTGCAAATAGAAGTAAATTTGGTAAAGAAATAGGATCGTTCCCGTTAATTATATTGGCAAACTCTAGCTTGTTATTCAGAATTTTGTAATTATTTTTAGATGGCTTGACAAGTTCGTCAAACACGTGTTGCCAAGTAATTTCCAAAAGCATTATCTCTCCGTTTTCACATAATATCTGATAGTCCTCATCCTCTTTTAATGTTAATATTGTATTCTTAACTGTCAATAACTTACGCCAATTAACATACCAATTGGAAATAGGATATGAGAAAGTAGATTGCTCTTCGACATTCGAAATAGAGTCAACACTCTTAGACATAATTTTTCCAAGGAACTGTTGGGCAAATCTAAAGAATTTTGAAGAAGGGCATTTTTCATTCCTCATATTGAATAAAGTGTCTCTTATATGAATAAGAAGAAAATTAATGTTATAATTGTATAACATTATGCAATAATTATCTAAATTACTTGTAATATCGTAATGTATTTCCACGAATTCAACCAAGCCGTTATACAATTTATCCAAAAAATGTTTTCTAAACCCAATTTTGGCGTAATATATTCTGTCCAGAACCGCAGCATAAGTCCTAAGATGTAATTCCAACCGAAAGCTTGTATTCTCGTCATAAATTTTTTCAAAGGATGAAGTCTCCGATAGTTTCTCCAAAGCCATGATCAATGTCTCCGAAGAAATTTTGATTTTAAGATTTTCTACTATGATTTTCAAGTCACGTAAATTCGAATTTAAATCTTTAATATATAAATATATCCGAGATTCTATTGTTGATAATTTATGATACATTCATTAAAAATGAGCAAATATTTATTAAAAAATATTATTTAAAAAACGCGAATAAAATCAAATTATATTATATATAAAATACCTGTTAGGCTTGTTTCTTTTTTCCGTACAATCACTTGATTTCGACCTCTTTCTTTAGCCTCATGTAGAGCTTCATCAACCATTGTGCGTAACTCTTTGAGAGATTTTACTGAAGGGTCTACCTCTACAACCCCGATACTAACCGTAATATTCAATTCTGTTTCCTCATAAATAAACTTATGCTCCTCAATTAAAGCACGAATTTCTTCTGCAATCTTATAGGCCGATTCGGCATTAGCATTTCTAAGAAGAATATTAAATTCATCTCCACCAAATCGTGCAAAAATATCTTCAGGACGAACATGTTGGGTTCTAATTAAAAAAGACAGCTCATTTAAAATATAATCTCCCGCTTCATGTCCAACGTCACTATTGATTTTTCTAAAATTATCTATGTCAAAAAATAACAAGCTTAGTTTGGTTCCATATTTATCGATGCTTTTAAATTCTTCCTCTAATACTTCTTCCAAATAATTAGCATTATATATCTTCGTTTTAGGATCAAGACGGTTCTCAAATTCGCCAGAAGAAAGATATTGGAATTCGCATTTCCCCATTCTGATTGAATCTCCTTTCTCTAAAATATTGGTCTCATTAAATTTGAGTTTATTGTTATTTATGTAGATTTCAGACAGTAAATCTAAATTAGTGATCGAAAATTTTCCTTGATCATTTATAATTTTTCCATTTTGTTTAGAAACCTCTTGATCTTTAATAATAATATGATTCCTAGAACCTCTTCCTATTAATGTTTCATATTCATCAAGAAAAAAATGACAATTCGTCGGTGATCCTTTAATAACTGTTAAACTGGCGGTATTTTGCAGAAGCGAACTGTAATCCTGACGCTGGTAGACTTTCGAGGTATAATTTGAGATTTGATATACTTGATCAAATTCAATGTTTTCAAGATATAAACGAACGTCGTCAATTGATGGTCGCTTTCCAGGTGCTCCATGCCATGCTTTACAGTAAAGCTCTTTATAATCTACAGGAGTTCCATTAACAGGGTCTTCCCGAATTCCAGAAATAAGTTTTGATTTTAAAGTGGATTCGTCATATCCGAACCTTTCAAAGGGGGAAATACCGCTGGATATCTCCCAAAGCAATACTCCAAGACTATAAATATCAAAAGATCTATCTTTTTTATAATCAAATGGCGACTCAAGAAATCTTGGATCAACATAAACTATTGTTTCGTTATTAAAATTTTCGGGATATTTTATAGTAAATTCGCTAGGCTCTTCGAGGGATTCAGAAAAACCAAATCCACTAATCAATAATTTATTATTGTGAAATAGTATATTTCTTGAATTCTATTAAAATATAAATAATGTTAATCATCAAACTTAATCATCTTATTATTTGAATTTACTTACTAAATTTCCATGTATAATGTTTGTTTTGTGAATATAACGCACGCCATTCGCGATGTCTTTTGCCATCTTTATTTTAGTAGACCATTTTAGTTTTTTGAAATTAAGCTGTAAATGTGTACAAAGATCCTCGTCGCGAGCATATTGAAATACCATGAAGTATATTTCTACGGAAGGATCTAATAATAAAAAACAGCAATTTTTAATAAAATAAACACCGATAATATGGCAATAAATAGTATATACAGTATAATAAATAATAAATATACCTTTGCCAATACCCTTAAACTTGACTATATAATCGCTATTAACAAATTTTAATTTGTTCAAGCATTGTACCTAATTGGGTAAGATAATTATTAAATTGATGCATTGACATATTTTACATCGCGTTATTCGATATAATACCTCTCTGGCAAAATTCTCATAATATTCTTCGGCATTCTTATACTTATCATCTCTTAAATACTTAAGAGCGACATTTTCACCAAGTTCTTTTAAGTAAGCTTTCTTAACGTTAATCGCTGTTGAAGTAGGTTCGACATTTATAAATGAGCTATGCTCAAAATTTTTTACAAACTTATTCAAAAATTTCGGATTCTTAAATGTGTCCATTTTAAATTCTAATTCTGTTTGTGTAAGAAACCCTGATCCGTAGTCATGTTAGAGTATTTAATTATTATACAATTTCAATTGTACCGTAGTTTATTACAGTACTGTAATCTGTTGTATCACATGTAGTCCGACCATTAATTATGATAGCTTCCAAACTTAGCGATCATTTCTGCATCTTATAATTCATGCAACACCAAAATACGTACAGTATACTGTAAGTGTACTTATTTTACACGTTTACGAGATTTTGGTTTGGTTTGGCAACCGTTTGTGCCAAAACATTCTTGTTTATCATATCAGGACATGATCACTAACAAAAATTTTCTCTAGGGGCTACAGTATATAAATGATTGATTATCAGGCGTACCGAATAACCGATTGCAGGAATTAATTAATGGGCCTCATTTAATATAATTTGTTAATTTAGAAATACAAGTTTTATAATACTGTGGCTTAATAAAATACGTAGTAAGGCGACGCTTTATTTTTTTTCTATATTCTTGCTTACAAATTTTATCACAAAATTACAATCAACGTATCTTTATCAAAAGATTATACAATACAAAAAACCTATTACATATAAAATTTTATCAAAATCAAAACAATATAACAACATAACAAATACCAGATTGTAAAAGTATGTAAACTATACCCTACGCAGGTTTTATAATATAGTATTGTTACATTAAACTGTTTTAATATTATAACAATTAATCAATCACCTTTTTACTTACTATTATCATTATTAACAATAGATAAAACATTATAATTTTTATATTAATAATATAATATAATATAATATAATATATATTTAATTAATAATATTTTGTTAGCATGCAGTTTTAAATATTTTTTTTATAATTTTTAAAGCTAAACATTAATTACAAGATCTAGATCATATAATTTAAACGATAATTTAAATAATATTGTAAAAAATAAAAACAATGACTAACAGAATTTTATTTAAAATATTAAGTTTTCAACTGCTTTTAATAAAAACATGGATAAACTTTGATTTATTCAGGCAATAATTTTCAATTTATATTAAATATTTAATTGATAAAATTTATATATCCAATATTTTCAAATTAAAATCAAAATATTTTTTAAACCCCAAATTCTTTTTTTTTGATCTTATATTTAAATTATAATGCAATATAGCAAATATATTGCTATTTATAAATTTCAAGTAATAAAATTTTGTTAAAATATTTATTTATTTAGAGGCAACTATAATTATAATGTTAATGCCTTTGTATGCTAAGCATTGGTTATTTATTTGTATTAATTCTAATTTATATAAAGAAAATAATCAGTAATTAATAAAGTAATAAGCTATTAATTATATTTTACGATCAAACATTGGTTTTAAATCAAAATATGACCAATGAAAATTATTTATTGGTGTTTGATTAACATTAAAAAAGAAATGATTTCAATAATATTATAACTATGTTTAAATTTTAATATTGCATCAATAATCATTGTACTAAATTTATATACTTTTCATATTTTCAATCAAATTTATGATACACATTTTTTTTTAAATACATGTCATTTTTGTGGTTAACAAATATTCAATATAAAAGTAAAATCCCGATGATGTTTAAATTCATAATTATTTACATTTATTATTTAAACAATTTTCGAATCCAGAGAATGTTATTTGCTGTAGACAAAAACGAGTTTTATATTGATATTAATGGTTTTAAAAAATTTTAATAAATGTTTTGTGATTATAACTTAAGAGTTAATTTGTTCATTGTTTTATAAGTAAAAGATTTTTTTTAAAAAAAATGATAATTAATTGATTTTATTAACATTTAAATAAATCTTTCGGTGTAATGTTACAATAATCAGCTAGATTAGCCTTAAAATCCTGTTTTCCATATGTACATTGCTTTATAATATTGTCTTTTATTTTATATTATCACGTGGTCTCTCTTTCTCAAACCTAATAACAAGAAATTATATTTAATCAAAATGCAAAATGGAAATTTTTTAATGGGGTAATTTAAATTTACCTTTATCAACGGGACTTGCGACTATCAAGGAAAACAGAATCACGGACGCTAACACTAGGATCAATAGTTTGAAGTTCATTTTAAAGGTCGTTTGTCGAATTTATTTCTAAAAAAAATTAAGAATTAATTTGAATTCAAAAAAATATTTTAATAATATTCAACTACAGTCAAAAGAAATTACACAAGGAATAATTTTATATTCTTAGTTATCTTTGCAGAATTTTGAAATGAATTATTAGATTTGCATTTTGATCATTATTCTGTGTTGTATTTACAAACCTTTGAACGGTGTTACAATGTTGATATTTTCTCGTACAGTTTAGCCGGAACTATATTTAAAGCATGACATCTCATCTGCAGATAATTTCCAAAACAAATGTATATAAATGAGTAAAAAAGTAAATGAGCTGTACTGTATTTCGTACGTAAAATTAGTTGTGGCTCCCTATTAAACAAAAACCAGTTTTTTAATGAGACAATCAGAAAAACAAAAGTCTTATGCAAAGATTAATTGTGGAAAATATTTTTAAATAAACATCTTTCAATGAGAAAGTTTCTAAAATTAAATATTATATGAACGTACAAAAGCGAATTGTTTCATACAAAAAAAATCAGTAGTACATCATGTTAAGACGAAACTGATTTTTCAATGAAGATTATGTCAAAGAGAAATCATTGGCACAATATTTTAATACCTATATTATTATTGTAATAGCTAATGGCTGTTGCAGTTTTAAATCTTAGTTGATACTTTATCTTAGCTTTAATAATCAGACGTGTCATCAAAACGTAAAAAGAACTTTCCATAGTATCAATGATAAGAAATACCAACAGGAAATTTTTGTTGTGTTTTGTTTTATTTAATTAATCTAGCAAATCAGAAACGATTCTTTTTTATCGTAATACAATACTTGGATTGTTTGTTTTTTAGTAATAAGCAGTAAGCACGTTACATTATCATTTTTTTCAGAAATTTATAATATAATTATATTTATCCTTTTATTTGGTAGTATGTTACGCTTTAAAATTCTATACAAAACAATAAAAGAAAGACGTAGTTCCAGAGAGAAATTAATAGTTGTACCGAAAGAAGTTTTAAATATAATTGAAGAATTATCTTTATTCAGAATTATGAAACTAGAAGCACTAAAACTATTTATATAATGTAGAGAAAAATGTTATAAGAAAAAAATCTAGATTAAATAATAATGAGTTTGGAATTAGGCATCTAACGGCGCACAGCACTGATCTTGTTATTTTCTCTTGAGAACAACCGGTTCTTGGGTGTTTTTATTTTACTCTTTAAGAAAAAATCCAAAGAGCTCTATTAGTTCGTTTAAACAAAACCCAATAACTTTTTTGAAAATTATTTTTAAAATCTTTATAATAAAAAATACAGTACTGAAATCTGTACAGTGCAGCACTGTATAATGAAAATTTGTTGCTAAATTAGACTAGTATCATGTACGTAGTAAATTAGTCGAATAAAGTAACAACTACCGTACTGTACAATGAAATCACATGTAAATCGAGAAATTAGCTCATTGATACAGCATTTGTTTACTATTGCTGATACAGTACAATGACATATTCTTATTGATATGCATGATACTAATGCATAAGCCTTTGGAAATTAAACTGCCAATGGTCTCATTATTTACCACGATATAGTAGTGGCAAAATCGATTGAAACCAATTTCATCGAATTTTGGAGACTTTAATAATCATTGATTAGTAACAGCTAAATTTAATTTTTGCCATCTTGTACTCATATAGCACTCAATTTAGATATTTAGAGTTATTTGTCATTAAAAAAACAGGTTTTTTCTTTGAAGTGTGACTAATTTTCCATTCGAGACAAATTCTTCTGTTTGCACAATATCTTCATTGGAAAACAGGAGTTGCTTTAACTGTAGTATGATTGATTCTTGCATGAGACAAAATTATCTTTTTTTGCACATTCATATAATATTTGATTTTAGGAATTAATTTACTCTAAATTTTCGGAACACAGCTAATCTCTGTACGAAAAAAATTCTCACACTTACATATTATATTCATTGAAAACCGGATTTTATTTTAATATAGTGTCATGATAACTTTTTACGAGACAAGATTTCTTTTTTGTACATTCATATAGAATTTGTTTTAATAGTTATCTGCATGCAAAGGTGTTTTTCTAATCATTTTAGTTATAGCTGGTCAAAATCGTGTTTATCCAAAGTTCTATAAATACAACACACAATCGTGAACGAAGTAAGTCCATATTATTTCGAGATTATTCAAAGACATCTAGGAGATAATATTCTTTTATGTAATTCTTTTTAAATCATAATTTAATTTTATTAAAAGATGAAATTCTATTAACTCGATTTTTTTAATAGAACTAAATTCTAAGAACTGTGTCCAAAATGAACTTCAAACTCTTATCGATCTTATCGTTGGCTTCTGCTATTTTATCTTCCTTGACAATCGCAATTCCCTTTGATAAAAGTAAATTTTAATTGATTTCATAAAATTGATATTTCGTATTTATTAAAGTACAATTACTTGTTTTTAGCCTTAAGAGACCTAGAAATGTCAAGCATGGACAAAAGTAAATGTTGATTAACTTTTTTCTTCTAGTTACCGTTCCTTTATAATTTTACTTATACTCTTTCGTTCTGTTTAACTATTAGGAGGCAAGTTTTCTTTTCAGCGTTTACTCCAAAAAATTTTATATGGACTTTATTCTAATCAATTATTATATGTTTATTTTATTAACTATTAGAGAGTAAATTTGTACGTAAGTATATATTTATCATGTTTGTATTTTTAAAGTATCTAAAACTATTTTAAATATTATTTTATAAATATCACGCCCTGTATTTGTTTTTTTATTGATTTTAATCGATTTTATAATTTGTTGACTATTAGAAGGATGTGATGGTTATTATATGTTACAATTTTTATGCCAAACTTTCAAATCAATTTTTT